TTTTTTTTTTTTTTTTTTTTTTTTTTTTTTTTTGGGGGGGGGGGGGGGGGGAGGAGAAAATCATTTCCCTGTTACAAATCAGGATATGAATTATGTGAGAACCGTTCGGTTTTTGGGGAACATTGTTTCGGTTGTCATTTTTGGCAACGTGTTTTAATGTAGGATTCTACGTTACAAACCCTATCTCTGGAAACTGCTTCTAGGTTTTATTTTGATGAAATATTGATGCTAGCAGCTAGCGTTCACGAGACACGTTCTCTCCGGTTTGCTTCAGGGTATTAATTTCTGGAATAGGAGGAGAGCCTCGACAGGCTGACCATCTGTTATAATGCATTTGCCATTACTTCGGCCATAAACACCCAGAAATTGAAATGCGTGAGTGGATCTTTTAAGTCAGAAATAATAATTGGCCAAGCATAGGTTGCCCGTGCGAAGATGCGTTTTTTGCATAGTTCCCCGCAGTTTTTGTTGCTACCGGCATCTGTTTTTTCGGCAAATGCTTCTAGCTAAACAAATTAAGATTGACCGTCAGAGCTGGCAGGAAACACCCCCTTAAAATTTAAGGTTTCTAGTTTTCCTGGCCCCTGACTTAATTTTCTGGAAAAAAACTTTTACGGGCCCACGCGTGGGTATCACGCATACCCGATATCTGGGTTTGAGCTCATTGAGACTTACTTGGACGGAGTGCATCCTCTTAAAACTACAGTTTTTTAGCTTTTCAGATTCTCGAGCTATGAACTTACTCGATAAAAACTTTGGTGAACCCGTCCGTAGGTCTCATGCATACCCGAGGGCTGGGTTTGAGTTGTTTGAGACTAATGTGGACGGGGAACATCGTCTTAATATTACAGTCTTCTGGCGTTTCAGGTTCTTGAGTTATTAACTTACTTGAAAAAGGATTTTACGTGCACTTACGCGGGTACCACACTTGCCCGGGGGCTGGGTTTGAGCTCACCTGCTTGGACGGGGAATATCCATTTAACATTTCAGCTTTCTAGCTTTTCTGGTTCGCGAGTTACGAACTTACCTGAGAAAAATTTTGGCGGGCCCGTACGCGAAAACCAGCTTACCCGGGAGGTGAGTTTCAGTGCATTTACACCTTCTTTGACGAAGAACATCCCCAAAGATTTCTGCTTTTTAGCTTCTCAGGTCCCCGAGTTATGAACTTACCCGGAAAAAATTTTGGTGAGCCCGTACGCGGGTACCACGCGGGTAATGGCGCTCATTCTGGGGATTGGGGCCAGTACGTACATGTAGATTAAGTTCCCGAAATTTCAGCCCTGTAGCTTTTGTAGGTCTAGAGATGAAACTGCGTGACAGACGCACACACAGACACAGACAACCCCTCGTCAATATGCGTTTTTGCATTGCATAACTGCAAAAAATGCATAAAAACTAGCAGTATACAGCCGGAATGATCACGGAAAAAGAACCAGGAGATAAAAATGCTAATGAAAGGTGGATTTGGATGTAAAAATTGGCACTGTTCGTCCAAGATGATTGCCCATGACTGAAAAGGCAAAGTATTCTATGTCCTTTAAGTACCAGTTGGTTTAGGACACTGACAAAATAACACATCTAACACTAGAGACCGACAGATTGTTCAAAATACAGTAACCTTTGTTATCAAACGGTTACCGTTTTTAGCAAACACTTGCAAACAGATGCTGATACTCAGAATTTA